GCCCCCCGCGGAGCAGGGAGCCTGATGCGGGACTCGATCCCAGGACCCGGGGATCATGACCTGAGCCGAAGGCAGATGCTTAACCATCTGAGCCACCCAGGCGCCCTGAAAGGTGACATTTTAGAAGTAGAGAATACATTTTGGACACATAAAGTGAGAAGGTAAATGTTGGGTGAAATGCATACTTAATCTTTTTGAACTGTACTGTGCCCTATTTGAGTCTGATTGGGCTGTAAGCACCTGGGTGGGGGCAGGGACACTCACTCCGGAAGCTTCCGTGTGTTGTTTGCACAGTGCACACACTGGGCGCCTGTTTGGTGAGCGAGGCAGTGGGCTGAGCAGGGTCGGGCTGTGACATCTGTGCAGACGTTCTCAAATGCACCTCATGAGCACTTTAAAGAATCGTGAAGAGTGGAGATTTGGGGAAACGTGAGAAATGGGGTGCCCCCCAGGACACCCTGGTTGTGAGGTCAGCGCCCCTCCCTCCCTGCCCTCCTCGCCCCTCCCGGCCTCCTCCCTCCACGACAGCCTCGTCCCCCAGGCCCTGGAGCCCACGTGGCTGGAACACATCTTTCCTGTTCTGAATCTGCTCATACCCCACTTTAGGACCAACACTGCCTGATCTAGTTTGATCATTTAAAAATTCTGCTTATTTTAGGGGCACCTGGGTGGCTCAGTTGGTTAAGCGTCTGCCTTTGGCTCAGGTCATGATCTCAGGGTCCTGGGATCGAGTCCTGCATTGGGCTCCCGGCTCAGTGAAGAGTCTGCTTCTCCCTCTGCCTCTGCCCCCCTGCTTGTGTTCCCTCTCTCGCTATGTCTCTCTGTCAAATAAATAAATAAATAAAATCTTAAAAAAAATAAAAATTCTGCTTATTTTAATTATAATCTCTTTTCTGCTTTCCAGCTAAAGATTGTGAGCTAAATTTTCTTTTCTTTTTTTTTGTGAGCTAAATTTTTAAAATGCTATGATGTATCATTTATAGGAAGCGAGAAAAAACAGTGTATTCCCCTCTAGAATAAAACCTTTACATTTAACTCATCGCCCTTGACAATTAGATGTTGGTATTTTTAATCCTGTTTGCTTCATTTATTAAAATGAGGTCAGCATCAGGAAATAAGCCTGAGTGCCTTTCCGTTGCCCGTGCGATTGGCGTGTGGTCATTTCTTGCTGCCACATATGTGTGTGATGTGTCTGCCCAGCGGCTGCTCCCACGTGCTGTCCCTTTCTCTCGGGGGCAGGGTCTTCCTGTCTCCCTGGAACCAGCGCTAGCCGTTGCTAGTACCTGTCCAGAGGAAACACATGCATGTGCGCACGTACATATATGAGCAAGCGCGTGTGTGTACACACGTGTGCGGTCGACACCCTATGTGACAACTTACAAATGAATTTTTGGAACTCAACTCATTTTTCAGACATGAGATTGGACGCTTGGTGTCCTCTCAAGCTTTTTGTAAACAACGTAGCTTGAGTCCTAGGAGATACTGGGGACAGGCAGCCTCCTGGACATGCCGTTGTTTCCAGAACCTCCCCGCACATACAGGGCTTGGCCTGGGGGTTAGGGCACCCTTGCCAGGACTCGGATTCGTAGGGTGGTTGTGTGAGGGAGGCACAGCGTTGCTTGGACGTCCGTCTGTGACCTTCCTCGTGGAATTCGTCGGGATTTGGAAGGTTAGCAGCCTTTGCATGAACCGCCTTGGCTTCTGGGCTCCATCCATGTGGTAGCGAGTTCTCACTTTACTCCTTTTCACGGCCGAGCAAGAGTCCACCGTGAGGATGGACCGTCTTGCTTGCCCGCCATCCCCCGACATTGGGCTTGTTCCTCTTTCTGTTACAAATAGTGTTGCTGGGAGCTTGTGTGTCTTCACTACTCTTGGGTACGAATCCCTCCGAGAGGGGGCTGGTGGTAACTCTGTGTGGTCTCTCGAGGAGCTGTCACACTGCCCCCCAGCGGCTGCACCCCTGGACGTTCTGACCAGCAATGGAGGAGGTTCCAGTGTCTTTACATCCTTATCAGCCCTTGTGACCATCTGACTGGTCTGACGGATTCTAGCCGCTCTGGTGGGTGTGAAGTGGCCTCTCGTTGTGGTTTCGAGGTGCGTGTCCCTGATGACCGATGGTGTTGGACATTGCTCACTGGTCATTTATGTGTCTTCTTTGATGAATATCTGCTCAGGTCCTTTGCCCATTTTAAAAATGGGTTCTTTTTCTTTTTACCGAGTTGTAAGCCTTCTTTATACATTCTGAATAGGCTCTCATATCAGATGTATGATTTGTGGATATTTTCATGGGCCGTCTTTTGTCTCCCTTTCCTCCCTTCCTTCCTTCCTTCCTTTTTTCCCTTTCATTTTAAGTAGGCTGCACGCACAGTGTGGGGCTCGAACTCACGACCCTGAGGTCACGTGTCACACGCTCCACAAATGAGCCGGCCAGGCGCCCTACCTTTTTCTCCCCTTGAGAGTGTCCTTTGAGGCATAAAAGTTTTTAAATTTTTTATAAAGGTTTTTATTTATTTATGGAGAGAGAGAGTGATAGAGAGAGAGCATGAGAGGGGGAGAGTCAGCGGGAGAAGCAGACTCCCTGCTGAGCAGGGAGCCCGATGCGGGACTCGATCCCGGGACTCCAGGACCATGACCTGAGCCGAAGGCAGTCGCTTAACCAACTGAACCACCCAGGCGCCCCAAAGTTTTTAATTTTGACAAAGCCTAGTTTATCTGTTTTATTGCTTGTGCTTTGGGTGTCCTGTCTGAGAACCCGTTGCCCAAGCTGAGAGTGAGGAGATTTTCTGAGTTTTGTAGTTTTAGCTCTTCTCTTCGGTTGTTGGTCCATTTTGAGTTACGTCTTCTTTGAGAGATGAAAGTCCCGCAGGCATGCAGGGGCCTTTGGCTCTCAGCCCCAGAGCGAGATTCGAGCGGGTCTTCGTCCTCCTGCCCTGGGAGGGGTGCCCCCTGGCTGTTCTGAGTGGAGCCCCCACCGGAGGCCTTGGCTGAGACTTCATCACTGTCCCGGGGCAGGTGAGGGACGTCGGCTGGCAGGACAGGACTGGATTTCACGACAAGCCGCTGGGTGGTCAGGAAGCTCGTCGCCTCGGCTTCTCCTAAATTTGCCCGCCTCCCACTTGGAGAGTCTTAAAATGACCTGCGTGTGTTTCCTCTCCCAGATGCGGACTTGACGGTGACCGAAGCCAGTAGCTCTGACAGCCGCGGGGAGAGGGCTGAGCTCTTTGGCCACGTGGACGAGGGTCTCCTGGGAGGAGAAGCCAGCTACCTGGGCCCGCCCTTGACCCCAGAGAAGGAGGAGGCCCTGCACCAGGCCACCGCCGTGGCCAACCTGCGGGCAGCGCTCCTGAGTAAGAACAGCCTGCTGTCCCTCAAGGCCGACATGCTCCGGGACGACAGCTCCCTGCTGCTGGACTACCTGCCCAAAGGCACCCACTCCCTGTCCCGTAAGTGCTTTGGAAGGAGATGAGGCGGTGGGGGGGGGGGCGCGTCCCCGGGGGGGGGGGGGGGGGGGGGGGGGGGGCGGGGGGGGGGGGGGGGGGGGGGGGCGCGTCCGCGGGAGAGGTGCGGTGGGGTGTGCGGCTGCAGGGGCCGTGGCGGAGCGGTGGTTGATGTGTTGATGTGTGGTGGTTAGGGCAACAGCAAGTGCTTGTTCGAACGTTTCGCACTGAAATCGAAGCATCTGAACCAAAAATCTTGTCAATCTTAGAAGTGCGGGGCCTCTAAACGGGAGCTGTGTGTGAGTCGGGAAGGGGGACCGGGTTGGCGGCCTCTGTGCAAAGGGACAGGCTCGGGCTCCCTCTGCTGGCCCTCGGCCCGCCTCTGTGCCCATTCACTCGCAGTGGGGAGCGACGTGCGCACATCCTTGCTTTGTTTCCGCTAGATAATGCCGCTTACACGCCAGTGTTTTTAAAGGAATTGGATGTTGTTTACTACTTAAGTGTCTCCAGCCAAATTCCAGTTGTTCGGGAGCAAATGACAGACTAACCTGAGAAGCAGAGGTACGGCCAAGCTGCCAAGCAGCGGGCTCTCCTAGGACTTTCTTCCCCCAACAAGACCCAGGGCATTTGACTTTCTCCTCTAACGGCCTGTGAGCCCGCAGGGTGCAGCCCAAGAGCGAGCCAGGCGCTCTGAAGATCCATCCTGGGGACGCTCATGGACTGTGGCGGCCGCCCGGACGGTGTCTCTGGCCATCCGAGGAGAAACGCGCTGTGTTTGGTTGGTGCTCACTATGGGTGCCAGAGGGAACGAGGTGCGGGGCGCAAACCCCAAAACGGGAGGCCCCGAGTGCAGAGGGGGGCCCGTGGGTGTGAGCGTGTGGATGGGGCCTGAGTGGCGGTCAGTGTGGACACAGTGGCTTCCTGATTACCACTGGAGGAAGGGAAGCCAACTCCTATGTTGGGGATTTGGGAAGTGCATCTTTGTTTTCATTTTTACTCTAATTTTAAAAAGCCAGTATTTTTACGAGTTTGTTTTCATGAGCGCTAAAATACCCTAAGTTTCTGTGTTGGAGCGATGAAATTTGCTTACGGCTAATAAAGATGCAAGTGGGAGCAATGCTTCTGTTTCTTCATTTCCTGGCACGTCATCAAGAGCCCAGGCCACCGTCCGAGCAGCCTGGACGCTGTGCTCAGTTCGCGGGGCTTGGCTGTGAAGTCAGACCCTACACTCAATACCTGTGGACAGGCTGCTTGGCTTTGGGCACACTTTCAAAGACATGTTGAGGCCTCATTGCCCCATCTGAAAAATTCATCACACAACTGTAGGGAGTTTAAGACAAAGTAGCGTCTGTGAACCCTCGAACGCGTGCTCCCAAACGTTGGTCCCGCCCCGCCTGCCGTTGGGCCTGTGCCACCCCAGGGCACTGGGGGGTCGACTGGGCAGGTTTGCGCATCTCGTGGAAGGAGCCCGTGGGCATGCAGTTGGGAACCTGTGGCTGTGTGGAGAGGTGGGGGCACACTTGTTCGGGCCCCCCCCCCCGTAACACTCCTAATGCACGTGTGAGTGCCGCACCTCTTGGGCTGTGGGCGGGCCAGACCAGTGCCCGCCTCTGCCGTCAGGGCTGACATTGGAATGAGGGGTGATGCTCGATGCTTTTAACTTGTCTTCCTGCCGGTCTTTGCCTCTAGTGTGGGCTGGTCCAAGAGGCCTTTGGTGCATCTCTGCTGGGAACTACACTAGACCGGGTCTGGACCCGCTCCTGGGGCGGCACCAGCGGCCGCCCCCGCTGGGCCCCTCCCTGGGCCCCGCCCCTCCTGCAGCAGGCCTCACAGGATTGCATCTCCTGGCGGGCTCTTCTCCCCGAGCTTCGTCTCTGCGTGTGGGTCACCGGACCTTGCATTAACACCTCTTGACGCTGGAGTGAGGCAGCAGCACCTGCCCCGGGCGTGCTCTGGACACATGCACGATTGTCAGACTCTGCTCTTCACAGTTTGGAGGGGGTGGGGAGAGCTGGGACATGAAGTCTTCTGTTTAGTTTTGGTACATCTGTGACTAATTCTGGGTGAAGTCACACGGTGGGTTTTGGTATTTTGTTATTTCTGTTATGTTTTAATCTCCTTGCTTTTAATATTCTAAATTTCCCATTTTTCTTGTAAGAACCTACCAGAGGCAGAGGGGCCAGAGAGCTTGGTGGGAAAATGGGTTATTTTAAAAAATATTATTTTCTGACATCTTAAGGAAAGTCTGTCTGTTTCCAGGTATATACTAAAATGAGGAATGAAAACATCCAAATAAAAACTTTGTTTCCCAGAACGTTGTGGTCAGCGGCCATCGCAGCCGCGCCCTCATCCCGTCCCTGGCGGGCAGCCTCGCAGAATCAGACAGAGGCTGAGCGGCCGTCCTGTGGTTAAGACGTGGTTGTGGCAACCTGTCCGGTCACCTGCGTTGGAGACGTTTGTCCCTGCGGAGGGTACCTGTATTAGCTGGGTGGCCTGAGCCACTGCTATGTATCTTGAGATCACGAGAGGGAGCCGGAGCGACTCCACGACTCCGTGTGTGTCTGTCCGTCTCTCTGCTCCGTGCTGCCCCGTTTACAGACACAGTTTCTCTTAAGTGCTCGCGGTGAAGTGTCAGGACAGGCGGAAGCCTGCGTCGGTCGCCTTTCCGCCACCGCTGCTGGTTTCTAGATGCGCCCTCATTGGCAGGACCCAAGTTTTCTGTCCAGTTGAACGCGGTGTGGCTCCGGTGACTTGGTCATGTGTTTCTAGCCTCGCTCCCCACCGAGGGCTCTCCTGCTTTGTCGAGACGGGCACCCTCCTCCTCATGCTCCACCACCGGCTCGCCAGAGCCCCCAGGTACCCGTGTGGTGGCTGAGCAAGAGATTGTGTGTGTAAGGGACTTAACGGCACATCCAAAGAGGCACACTGAGAGCAAAGCAGAACAAGGCCACGGTGTGTCCCACCGAGGGCTGACACCCCGGTTCCGCTCAGGCGGGCGCAGGGGCCTCTATGCTCCCTCCACAGGTGGCTCGGAAGGGAGGTGGGGCCTGTGCGGTGGTGCCGGGCATCCTCAGACCCTGGAGTGAAGGTGGGGAGCGCCAGACGGCTGCACTTGGTCGCCCAGCTCCAGGCTCCTTGAGCTGGTTAACAGTGGACGTTTTATTATGATTTTCAGAGTGCCCAAAATTGGGTCCACATCCCAGCAGACATAGGCTCGTCATCGGAGAAATGAGGGGAAGGTGTGATGTTTAGCGGGAAGCAGCTCTGGCACAGGATGTGCTGTGGGGGGGTCCCGAGGCCGGTGGCGATTCTGCCTGGTCTTCCCGAGGAGGGAGCACTGTGGGGCATAAGCGTGGTCTGCTAGTTTTGTGAAATAAAGGGATGATAGTTGCAGGTGTTTAAAATCAGGGGACCATTAAATGTGCAGGCAGTGCTCAAGCCGTGAAGAGCAGCCAACACTCACCTTTCCGGACAGTCTGGAACCTTCTAGGAAGTTCTGATGGGTCTAATCACATTGGTGTGGCTGCTGGAGTCAGCAGATGGTTTCTTTCTAGACTCATGGTCTTTAACTGATTAAAGAGCCTTTTGTAGTTTTTATTTTGATTTAGCTTAACTTGATTCTCTTACGTTTATTACGTTTTCAGTGGTAGGCGAGCACCCTACCCGTTCATAGTCACTGTTCACTGAACAGAAGCCGTGGAAAGCATTGACTGTGGCTTAACACGTGGTTCAGTTTTACAAGTTGTATTTGTGAGCGTGCATGGATCTGAGTGGGGCCTTGACACGCACGTCGCTTCCTTGGACCCTCGAGAAATGCCTCACGCACATGGGTCGCTGCTTGATTTCCCGGGAACAAACGGAAGGGAAGGAAGCCGGCTCACTGTGGGTCCGGGAGGGTGAGTGTCTCATAAGGCTGCCACATCCTTCCAACATCCGAGGTAACTGCGGCCTGAAAAGCATCATCCTTGATTATTGTCGCTGTTTGACCTGTAGATACTACCTTTGAAAAAGTTGAGGATCTCCCCCTAAGAGTCATAGCTGGTGCTGTCCTGTCTGAGTAGAAGGATGTGCCAAGTTCCCTCCCGCTCTTGAAGGGAGGGGACGCTCGAAAGATCCTGGGGGACCAGTGGCGGGGGCTCTCCGAACGGGACCACAGGGAGCCACCGGGCCGTGCCGTTCCTTCCTGACCCTTGTGTCTGCAGGCTGGCCCAGACGTCCAGGAGCACTTTGCGGGAAAGCGCCGAGCTGGTGTCTGTTCTGATTATGGTTTAAAGATGATTTCTTATCGTGTGTGAAAAATGAATTAAGGACCTTTTCTTGGTTCTGGATCGACACTGGAATTTCAAACAATTTCCTGCAAAAAGGCATTGGACGATGTCACTACACTTTTAGATAAATAGCCAGCTCGACACACCTTGGAGTGTTTTCCAGAAGATCGTTTCTCAAGGCCACAGGCATGCACGTGCTCCGTGTTCTCACAACGTGTCCTGACTTTCTGTGCTAGAATCCTCTGTCATAAACATTTTGCTTCTGGGAGAGAGACCCTCACCCCAAACAAGTCACATGCGGAGACCCCTGCTGTTTGGGGGTGGCGAGCTGATAAAAATACCCAAGCGCCCACCTCCAGCAAGACCCAGGCTTTGTCACACAGCCGTGCTCTGCTCACAGCAGCAAGACCAGGCACTGCGCTTCTGGAGCTCTGAAGCAAGCCCACCAGCTGGTGTTCCTTCACGTGGGTGAGACTCGTTTCCTGTGTTCCCAGGGCCTGGCACCAGCCCGAGTCACTCTTGGGGGGATGCTGATCACAGAGCAGAAGCCCCTCCCTCTGGCCCCTCCACCCTCCACTCAGAGCCCGGGATGCCCGCTCTGGTGAATGGCCAGACCGAGCCCAGGACAGCACTGCCCCCCAGCCCAGGTAAGACATGAGAGTGGCCACCACGTCCTGGGCAGCCCGGAGCAGCTGCGCGTCCAGCACGCACATGCCCTAAACTCCTCGTGCGCTCAGG